TACGCTCAACGAAACGCTCAAAGTTGGACGTATTGCTTTGGTTTTTTCCCTCTTTTATTCATTTATGTACAGTTTCTTTCAACACATCCACGGCTCATTGAAATGAATATCGATGCCATCGCTTGGAATAAGTTTTACAAATACTTGCCACGTTCTACGAATGTAAATGTTTTTGAAATGAAGTAACATTTTGAAAATTTTAGGGATGAAAATAAAATCAAATATTTACCAATGACAATTTGAAAAGATAAATCTAAAGAAGAAAGTAACATTTCATTTAAAAAATGAGTTACCATAACAACATCTCCTCTCCCAATTTTCCCGGAAGCCTTCTCGTAGGTGCCCAGGGAACTTTAATCCCTGCACGCGCCTGGGTTGCCACAAAATTTTGAAAATATAATTCCCTGACACATTTTGGCAAATTCCCTGACAATTGAAAAAATGGCAGATTGTTAAAAACACATACAATAAAAGCTCACGGAGTCGAACTACAGGTGAGAAAAAGCCGATCAAGGAGAATATTTTTTTCGGTGGCAGTTGGAAATAGTTTACAGGCAAAATTTGTTGTTCGAAATGTCGGACTCACTCGAGAAAGCAAATAAAGGCGACTTTGTCACTTTCCGGCCAAAGTATCGCAAGTGCCATGCGACATTCCAACATTTCCGCCACCATTTTAATTTTTTACAAAGAAATTATTCAACAAAGCTGTACGAAAGTTTCACTGAATTTTCTGTGTGTTGCCGATAAAGTTCGGTAAAATTTTCAAACGGATTCAACCGGAAATTTTTCTGTGAAAAAATAAAATAGCGGCGGAAATTTTGAAACCTCGCCTGGCGCTTGTGATACTTTGGCGAAGGTGACGACTTGACGATTTTTCCCTTGAATTTCCATCATTTTCCCTGATTTTGGAAAATCCTCCGACATTTCCCGGTATTCCCTGACTGTGTCAACCCTGACACGCTACAAAACGACGCAACCGCACGCGCAGGGTTGCCACAGAATTTTGAAAATAAAATTCCCTGACATTTCCCTGATCTCCCTGACACATTTTGGTGAAATTCCCTGACAATTGAAGATGTGACGGATGGTTGAGAAGGCATAATTGAAAATAGTTTTTATGCAACATTTGTTAATCAAAACCTCAAACCAATTGTAGAAAGCAAATGAAGGCATTTTAACAAATTTTCCCTGACATTTTCGTCATTTTCCCTGACTTGTTAAAATTTCCTGGCTTTTTAAAATTCCCCGACTTTTTAAAATTCCCTGACTTCTTACCGTTCCCTGACATTTACCGGTATTCCCTAACTATGGCAACCCTGCATTTTCCCTGACATTTTCAGGTTTTTGCTGACTTCTTAAAATTCTCTGACATTTTCATCATTTTCCCTGACATTTCCAGATTTTCCCTTATTTTTTAAAGTTCCCTGGCATTTTCATCATTTTCCCTGACAATTTAAAAGTTTCCGACATTTTCATCATTTTCCCTGACATTTTCAGGTTTTCCCTGACATTTTCATTATTTTCCTCGACATTTTCCGGTATTCCCTGACTGTGGCAACCCTGCCACGCTACGAAACAACGCAACCGCACGGACCCAACTCGAAGAATCCCCCGAATCGGGGCTAACCCCACAGTCGAGGAGGGGATGAGCCCCCGAAATTAATGAGGAAGCGCGCGCCGCAAATTATTCCGCCGACGAGTACTAGGAAACCGTCTAGCGCGGGGTCGATGCCGGGCCGAGGGGATGAAGTCATACGACCGCAATGAGTGAGTCCAAACGAGCGGTTTGGCCGAGTGAGTGGCTCCGATAGAAAATAATTCCCCGAAACGGATCATCTGATTCCACGCTCTCAGTCCAAGATAGCCCCACGCTCAATTGAGCACAGATTCGATCACGGCTCGCCTAGCCCCCGCCGCACATGGGATCGATTCAATTGGAGAATTTGGACAAAGTTTGGAAACTTTAAAAGCTCGTAACTTCATTATTACAAAACATAGAGATCTTAAAAGTAGTCCTATTGGCTACCTCTTAAAATTTACTTCAGAAAGCACCTCTCAAACTTTAAAATATCAAGGAATAAACATCTAAATTTGCAGTTTTAGTCATAAAAATATTGTCCGACCTCTCCTTTTGACTCGATCCACTCACTGCGCCGCACTGTAGATCGTGTCAATATGAGAGGTCGGACAAAATTTGGAAACTTTAAAAGCTTATAACTCCATTCATACAAAACTTTGAGGTTCTAAAAATGGTACCTTTGGTTTTCTCATTCAATTTTCTGCTAGATACGCCCTTTGAAATTTAAAATGTGACGAAATAAACATAAAAATTTGTAGTTTTAGTCAAAAATTTCATGTCCGACCTCTCTAATAGACTCGATCCGTTGTGCGCCGCCGCGTTGTCTGTATCCACGTTGTCAGGCGGAGCGCTGCGTCATTGTGGTGTTTGTCATTTGAATGTATCTGCGCTTTGATGTCAACAGAGTGTCTACCAATTTTTAAAAATAAAATTCCCTGGCACCTCCCTGATTGCCCTGACAAAATCGGACGAAAAATGAGATTTAAAGTTCGCCCTCACAGACGGAAAAATAATTCCCTGGCATATTCCTGACAAAAAGGAAAATTATTCCCAATTTTTTGACACGATTCAACTGATTTGATGTAATTAAGAATATGTTTATGTTTTAGGGATATAATGTAATAAAAGGAGCAAAATATATGGTGTCTGAACTTGAACGAGATACGTTTGCCTTATTTTTAAAATTTAAAAGGCATCAGCGGAAATTCTGGCAGAAATTTCTGTACAGATTTCATTTTTCTAAAACTTGATTCGTCATCATTATCAAAAAAAAAAAAAAAAAAAAATCGATTTCGCTGACGTTTTCTTGAAAAAAAAAAAAAAAAAAAAAAATCCACGTGTTTTGATTTCCCTAACACGAGAATTGGCTTGCAAAATAAAATTCCCTGACATGCCGACTTTGATTCCCTGACGTTTTCCCTGATTTTCTTGACACAAAAAGCAATTCCCTGACATTTCCCGGTTTCCCAGGTCGCTAGTCGCCCTGGCTCAGTAGGCCTGTTGCGAACTTCAGCCAGAGCAAACAGAGGAGACACTTTTTAAAGCAAATGGCTCAAAAATCAGAAGCTGCTGAGCTGCTGAAAAAAATAGTAAGTCGTTTCGACTATATAGAGCAAAAGAGAGATCCTCCATTAATCTCTCGGTGGCGGATGGAAAAGTATGCTTTCGAGGATTCGACACTTCCTTGTAGAAAATTGGACGTATTTCTGCCAAACGGAACCAGAGGCAGGCGGGAAAGGCAGGGTGTCTACTAAAACTGGCTGGTAATTAAGTACTTTTACAGTACTGTTTCAATACCTTTCCATAAAATTTAGTACCTCATAAGCAGAAGTATTCAGCTCTTTTTCCGTGCCTTCAAGTTGATTGTTGATTTGAGATCTCATTATTTAGTTATATTTCTTGGCGCTTGTTTATTTTTAATTCTTCTATACAAATTATCCATTTGCTAGATACAATCCTAGCTTGGGCACACTTAAACTATGCGGTCAAAACTGCAATAGCGGCAAAGGAACCCCGACAAGGCCAGCGTGGAGGCTAGTTCAATATGAGTGTTCCGTCACATTGCTCAGGCGCAAGGATACAACTATTCGTACTCTCCGGAATGCGGGAGGTATCACGCCATAATTGAAGGCGTTTTTGAAACGGCCAAATCCGTACCGGGATTCTTGTGTCGCATAAATAGGGGGTCTACTAAAACTGTCCGGCAAACATCAAGTACTTTTACAGTACTTTTTCAGTACCTTTCCATAAACTTGTATGGTGCTTTTAAATGACGAAATTCGAAAATCGTCGAAATTCACGCACAAATCGCGAGAAAAATGACGTAGCTAGGAAATTCGAAGCTCAGTGATGGCCTACGAATCGACTGGTTTCACAATTACGATCTAGAGCGGGAAGATACCGGCACTAAGAATTATTGCGCAACAGATTCCAGATTTTCTTGACTGTTTTAAAATCCGGACCTGTAAAGAGAATTTCCGTACATTTTCAATACTTCCGAACCACTTTAAAAAAATCAGTACTTTCCGACTTTCCAGACTTTCTGGACCAAAAAGCCGTCACCTTTTTTCGATTCACATTGTATGTGGGTTATGAGCTTCGGATGACGTAATGAGTCAAACAATTCTATTGAACTTTAGTTTATTCGCTAAACGAAATACTCAAAACGTTTTTAACCATCCACCTAGAGTAGGTAGCGCAACAGTTGAATGTTGGAGTCCCAAAGTAAAAAGCTTCCATTATTGCCAAGATATACGTAAATTGTGGGTATTAGGCGAATTTTCGCGAGTGGATTTGGTCGAGTTTTTCAACCAAATTGGCAGAATTGCAAACCAATGAAGAAAAACGATCTGGTGAAGTCAAGAGCTAAACTCAATTGCTGGATGAATTTTAGTCAACGTTTGCATCCATCCGCTTTTCAACCCCCCTCCCGCGATAAGCCCTGGATAGACGATCAAATTCCGAACCAATTCCGATCAAAGTAGACATGCTGATGACTGGTGGTCACCATCCACCATCAAATTTTGACGGGCCGCACTTTTTTGTTCAAAGTAAGATCAGAACGGAGTGCCACCATTCATCATTTCCTGCCGCAGGAAACATTTTCTGCCAAGTTTTCATTTTAAAATGAAGCAAATTAAAGAGTTCAAGACTGATGACTCCCGACACTTTGATGCTACTTTGATCGGAATTGGTTCGGAATTTGATCGTCTATCCAGGGCTATATAGTCGAGAATATTCAATGTGGTCGTCAATGCTGTCAGCATGAAAACCAAATATTGTAGGCGCACCATCGCCCGGAGGGAATTTTGTTTCGTTTTAATAGAGGTTGGTAGTAAGTAAAAAGCTTGAACCAAATCCACTCGTGAAAATTTGCCTATAGTCTCCAAGTCGGAAACTTAAGTGGGATAGGATTGCTTACCTGGTAAAAACGGGAAGTTTTGCACCCATGATATGAAGGCGAGCCAAAAGTAGGCAAATGGTGGATGCTATGATCGTCGCTAGTCGCTTTGTCGCTTCGACAGGCCAGGAGTGATGCAACGGGATTTTGCCATTCAAGGCCCATTGACCGAAGAGCTGGAGGTCAGACAGCCGAATCTGTAACAGATCAAAGCACCGAAATTAAATACTAAGACGAGAAAAAAGGACAATATTAAATCAGATGACTCAAATGTTAAATAAAACATTGTATACACAACAAATACTAAAATGAATAAAATGACTAAAAACGAAAAATCATTTTTAAAAAACATGTTGTTTGTTCTATAGTAAAACTAGCACTATTTTGATACCTCATATTATTCCACATTCCTACTTCTAAATAAGAATTTACATCTTTTTTATAAATCTTAAATTTACTGCACTTTCTGCCACATTAGGAAAAACAAGTTAAGCATAATTCCTTAAAACTATAATTAAGAACTGGTTTATTGATTTTTCACTCTAAATGTCTTCTTACGCCCAATTTAAACCCTACTACCCGAAGAAGTAACAAAGGTCGGCGTGTTTGGGGGCAAAAAAACATGATACCTTCCTACGCATAAAATATGCTAAAACAATAAGGTTTAGTCACTCATTTCTTTTTTGTTTCGGTTTGATTATTATTATATCAGGAGCACCAATTATTAAAGGAACAAGTCAGTTGCTAATAACCCACCAATAACTGAAGGCACAGTAATAAAAAAGATTATAATAAATGCATGAGAGGTTACTGTACCATTGTAAATGGGTGTCCGTATAGTAACTGAAAAGTGGGTATAATTTTTGAACAAAAAAAGATAGAAGGTCGCGGTTTGTGGCATTCTTCATCATCCAGAGGGGGAAATTTTTCGATGGGGGGTTTTTCTTGGTGGACCCCCCTGGGGGGCCCCAAGGGGGGGCAACTTTCAAAATTCAAATAGCAACCCCCATTTTTTTAGACATGGTTAAAAAGAACTTAAAAAGACAAGGAAAATGACGCAAATAAAATTAAAATCGGTTCACTCGTTCAAATGTTACAGCCGGTCAAAATTTTAAATTGACCACTTTTCAAAAAATCACCGTTGAGCTCCCAATTACCGAAAAAACAAAAACAAACCTGGAATGAAAAGTTTGAAAAGTGCCCTTTAAGGCAAGGAAAACCAACTGACGTTGTCACAAGTTTGGATGGCATTGTTTCAAAATAAAATTTCGGAAAATTCAACATGGTCATGGCGGCAAATTTGAGGAAACGCGAATAATGAAAATTCCAGAAATTGTTATCTTTCAAATACCCTCTAGTTTAAGGAAATCAATGGTATCAACTTTTTTTCCTTTATTTGGCCAAGTAAGAGCAATAATTTGTTGACTTGAAAGTTGGCAAGCGGGACCCCTTCAATCGTTGGAGTATGCGACATCACATGCACAGGATTAAGTGTGCTGTCAAAAAATGAAGCCGATGTGAAAAAGCGCTCCTCCTTTGGGATGCTTTAGAAATGTTCAAGGTCCTCATCCTCAAAAAATAAGAAAAGAGAAATGAAACAATTTTTACCCACAAACTTGGTGAGCCAAAAAAAAACATGGTATATCCTGATGGGGTAGGGCCGGTTGACATTTTTGACATTTCTCTACCTGAAAATTGAAAACGCAAGAATAATTGTGATTCTCTAATTCCTGGCACTCCGAGTTGGCAAGAAGGATATCTGCTACGCTTTCAATTCCGAAAACGCCGTTCTACTCTTGATTATTATCTGAGTTGAGATTATCTTATTGACAGCCTCAACCTCACGATTTGAGGAACCGATATTTTAGGTAATATCTCATGCAATATCTGATCGGTAACACTATTTACGAATCTGAAATCAGTATGCTAAGTTCTCTTGATAATACTGCGTTCTGATTTAGTTGGCAATTACTATTGTAAATTTACTATTGTTTGCAGCAAAATGAAGATCACTTTGAACATTTGACGGAATAACAGAGCATCAGGTATAAGAACTTCCACTT